ATATCAGCTGTTTTATAAATACAATGTCCGCGTTGCGCTGTGAACGACATTTATGACGCGGACAGCAAAAAGTTGTGGTCGACTAAACTCTGTTAAAAATTGAGAAATATTGCAGGAAAGATGAGCGAGCCTGCGGCGACTGCAGTGGCCGATGCCGCTGTCGTTCCATCGATAGGCAACAATAAAATACACTTTTCCAAGGAAGTGAAGCAGGTCATAGACAAGGTGAGTGACTTGACATAGAACATATGCCACGATTGTGACACCTAAATAATTGTCTTGTGAAGGTCTTGAAAACGGACGAACAGGATCCTATGGATGCACCGGATTTCAATACTGTAGACTACATCAACCAATTGTTTCCCAATGAGCAGTCGCTGGCCACCATCGATGAGACGATTCAGCGAATGCAATGCGAAGTCTCTCTAATCGATGATAATATTCGCTCTGTGGTGCGTGGGCAGACGAACACGGGCCAGGATGGGCAATTGGCGTTGTGCGAGGCACAGAAGGTGATCAGTTCACTATACAGCCATATTATTGATGTGAAAACTCGCGCCGAACGCACCGAGGAAATGGTCAAGGAAATTACGCGTGATATAAAGCAATTGGATTGTGCGAAGCGAAATCTAACATCAGCCATAACTACGCTGAATCATTTGCATATGCTTGTCGGGGGCATTGAGAGCTTGAATGAGCTAATTGTGCGTCGCTCCTATGGCGAGATTCTTAATCCACTGCAAGCCATTACAGAAGTGAATCAGCATTTCCAACAGTATTCGGACATTGAGGAAATCAAGGTGGGATATTTAACTAATGAAAAGATTATCATTTAATCACATCAATTTATATTTTAGAATCTCTCCCAAAGCGTGGACAAAATCCAAGTGACATTGGCTCAGCAAATCACCGAGGATTTCAAAGAGGCCTTCGCCAGCAAACCTTCCACGCAACACAAATTGGGCTTAAATCAATTGGCGGATGCTTGCAAGGTGATGTCTGTGCTGGACGCCAAGGTTAAAAAGGAGCTGCTCAAATGGTTTATAGCCCAACAGCTGGAGGAGTATATGCATTTGTTTCACGAGAATCAGGACATTGCGTGGTTGGATAAGATCGATAAACGCTATGCCTGGCTTAAGCGTCACCTACTCGACTTCGAGGATAAATATGGCGCTGTCTTTCCGCTCGACTGGGAAGTGTCAGAGCGCATTACGGTAGAGTTTTGTCGCCAGACGCGTCAACAGCTGTCGCAGATCATGGCCAAGCGAACGAACGAGATTGATGTGCGCCTGCTACTGTTCGCAATTAATAAGACGCAAGCCTTTGAGCAACTGCTCTCCAAACGTTTTACAGGCATCACTTTGGGTGCCACGCCCGCCGAGCAGACGCGAGTGCTCACACTTCCAGCGACAGCGGAGACGCCGCTCACCGCGACTGTATTCCACGACCAGATTGGCCAATGTTTTAAGCCACATTTGGACATTTATATACGCAGCATTGATCGCAATCTGTCCGAATTGCTAGAGAAATTCATTGAGATGTCGAAGGAGCCGTACAAGTTTGCAGAGGCCAAGACCACCGTCTATCCCAGTTCGGGTGATCTATTTGTCTTCTACAAGAAGTGCATGGTGCAGTGTAATCAGCTGAGCAACGAACAGCCTATGTACGATCTGGCACTAGTATTTAAAAAGTATTTGCGCGAGTACGCTGCCAAAGTGCTGGAGGGCAGCACGCCAAAGGTGGTGACCAGCAGCACCGGCAGTTCCATTGGCAAAAGTGTTTCGTTGCTGACGCGCGACATGCAGAATCTGTCCACAGCTGCCGGCCAGGTGTTCCACAACTTTCTGAAAGAGGGCGACACTCAGCGCTTCGCTCGGGATGATCTTGTGCGTATTTGCTGTGTCCTCACCACAGGTGAATATTGCCTTGAGACGGTGCAACAGCTGGAGGATAAACTGAAGGAGAAAGTAACGCCTGCTTATGTTAGCAAAATAGATATGAGCGAGGAGAAGGATGTGTTCCACCGGTAAGAGATTTATCTATAGAAATCCTATACAAAAAGTTATCATTGTAATTCCTCTCCTCTCACAGCATAATTTCCAACTGCATACAGTTGCTCGTCCAGGATCTAGAGGCTGGCTGTGAGGCTTCCTTGCAGGCCATGGCCAAGGTGCAGTGGCAGCACATCAGCAACGTGGGCGATCAGAGCGCTTTCATTAGCAGCATTTGCAGCAACTTCAAACAAACGGTTCCCACCATACGCGATACACTCGCCAGCTCCCGCAAATACTTTACGCAATTCTGTCACCGCTTTGTTGCCGCTTTCATTCCCAAGTTCATCAATGTGCTCTACAGATGCAAGCTGACTCTGTCGGATGGCTCCAACAATGTGCTGGGCTGTGAGCAGCTGCTGTTGGACACGCATTCGCTGAAGACGGCGCTGCTGGAACTGCCTTCGGTGGGCTCGAGTGTGAATCGCAAGGCGCCGACGAGCTACACCAAGGTTGTGGTCAAGGATATGACGCGTGCCGAAATGATCATCAAAGTGGTCATGACGCCCGTCCAGCCGCCGGCGCACTTTACACAGCAGGTGCTGAAACTGCTGCCGGACATAACCATAGCCGAATACCAGAAAATATTGGACATGAAGGCGGTGAAGCGAGTCGATCAGCTGCAGCTCATTGATCTCTTCAAGCACACGGCCTCCGCGGCGGCCGTCAGTGGACTGATGGACGCACCAGCCAGCGAAGAGGAGACACCAACGGTCAGTGACACGCCTGCACCTACCACAGAGGAGCCAGAGGCAATAGCAAATCCCACACCCGATGCCACAGCGACGGCAAGCACTACCACAGCAAATGCCACGCCCAAGCGCGCCTTCATCTTTAGCGTGGGCAGCTTTACGGGTAGTGCGGACAAGAATGCCGATGGCAGTTCCCAAACGGGCATCCGCAAGCTGGAGAGCTTGCTCAAGAAACGGTTTCCCTAGTCAAATGCGCTAATTAGTAAATACTAAATCTAGTATTCCATTCCATTAGTTCGATGTAATTCTGAATGGAAACAAAACCTGTTTCACTCAAAAGCCTAACATTAAGTTAGTATTCTTAATGAACTGACCAGATTTCTAATATATATATTTTCAAGCATTTTCTTGGCCTTCGAAAAAAAAATGATAATAATATTAAAAGACACAATATAAGTTTACTGAATATGGTATTTGCTTTTATTATAGACTTGACTTTTCTTAGCTTTAAAACCATTAGCTTATGTGACTATATTGAAAGTTGTATATATCTTAGATGTTCGTTAATGACTAAGTTGGTTGCTTAAACACTGTGGAGCTCTTAGATATCTAGGGTTTGCTTTTATTTTATGTACATGCAATAACTAAATAAGGAAATTCCTCTTCTCCTTTTCTTTGTTGTTAAAATAAACCGTACGATCTATGATTTGAAGATCTTTTGAAAGTTTTGAAAGTCGCCAATGAGAGCGCACAAAAAATACAAATCTCTATAACGAATGACTTAAGACACGAACTAAATTAGAGCGTAAAATTAATATTTGAATATTTCTGTTGAAATTTGTTGTTCTTGTTCTTGTTGTTTGTCTTTATGTTTAATATGCTTTGGTTTAATTCCAGCACTGCAAAACCTATATAGTTACTATATATAGTTGTATATATAATGTATATATATATTCATGTGTGTATGTATGTAAATAAGCTATATGACTATTACGCAGTAGGCGTGGCTGATCAGCATTCAAAGGCCAGTTAGCAAACAATTGGCTAACAACGCCCGAAGCCGAGGCTAACACTTGCTCTTCTTCTTCTTAAGTTCTATTTACACAGGGCTAGTCTCACACACACTCTCACATTCAAATACACGGTATTTAAGGAAGTCGAGTATGCCTAAGGCTACACAAATGGGGAGTCATCCTCGTTGGTGTCGTCTTCTTCTGCTTTCCCTTAGACAGCCACAATTTTGCTGGGATCCACCTTGACACGCAGAAAGACGGTGTCGGCCTTGATGAAGGGGCGGCTATGCAGCAGCTCGTGCGAGATGAAACGTGGAAAGCCGAAGCCCAGCTGATCGGGTTCGTTTGATGGCCGTTGGAAGTTCTCCCAGGTTGGATCGGGCACAAAGGACTCGGCCACGCCGCCCTGGCCGCTCTGGGCGCCCTGCTCGAACAGCGTGAAGGTGATCGAGTGCGAGAAGGGCCACTTGAGCAGTGCATCATATTCCCCGGGCAGCACTTTGATGTACACCGAGACATGGGTGTTCTCGCCCGGTCCGTTGCCATTGAGAAACATCGAGGCTTGCAGCTTGTAGCCGTACTGTGAGGTGTAGAACGGCGGCGAGACCAGCTCCAGGCCGTCCTTGCCGCGCGCCTCATTCATTTTGGCCGACCAATCGGTGATCTTCCACAGCAGCGTGCCGGTGTAGTTAATCGACAGCTTGGACACCGCCGACTTGAGCATCTGGATCTGCTGACCCTGGCGGCTGCTGAGCGCCACCATCAGCGACAAGTGAGCCGCGGCGCTGTTCTCCAGATGCGCCTCCAGCAGCTGGCGCGGACCTTTGAAGCGGCAGCCAGCCTCCTTGAAGCTGCAGGCCAGAGCCAGCGACTGGCACTCGTCGCGCAGATGCGCCTCCAGCTCGCCGCGTGGTATGGGACCCGCATCGCAGCGCTGCGGGCAGGCGAGCGGAGTGCGCGGACACTGGGCCGCATGCAGCTGCAGCGTGTCGGCCGAGAACTCGCGCTGGCAGTGGACGCAGCGACGCAAGCGCTTGGCGCAGTCCTTCGACTTGTGCAGGCTCATGCGACCGCGCAGCACACGCTGGCCGCACTTGGCCTCGCAGTAGACCGGCTCCTGGCCGCAGCTGCCGTTGTGCTCCTCCAGGCCAGCGCCCGAGAACTCGCTCTGGCAGAACTCGCAGCGTGTGCGACGCATCGTGCAGGTGTACTGCAGGTGGTCGGTCATCATGATGCGCGGTATCTGGGCGCCACACTTGTTGGGGCACTGCGTGGCGTCGTGCTTGCACGTGTTCAAATGGGCCTTCAGCTTGCGCAGCTCATCCGACCACTTGCAGCCCTGCTTGTGGTGTATGCAAAAGACCAGCGAGCCCATTATCGCTTGCTTCGGATCGGGACCAGGATAGATCTGCAAGGCATAAAGGAGAGAAGCGATTAGTGTGAGTTTTTTGAGTCGTATATATGTATCTATTAATAGGTAATCTTTAGGAAAAGTATCTTAAGGATGCCAAATCCTTAAAGGAGTCTCTCAGATACAAAGATGAATGCTTCATATAATGGAAGATGAAAAGGTTGAGTTACAAATTCGATTAGATTGAAAAAACAATCAGCAGATGCAAGATCTTTCAAGAACAATAATTCTCAGATACCATATGCCCAAGTCGTATGCCATGTTTGTATGAATATATAAGAATACTTTCTTAAGTGCCTACTTGATGATCAAATGAGGAGAGATCTGTAGATACGCTATCCTTAGTGCCACTTAAATACTTATCAGAAATGAAATCCCACTCAAACAATGCTTTAGTATCTATGTTTTAGATTCCAGATGCGACAGACAATATATTTTTGTATTATTTTAAACTAAAATGTATTTTTAAAGTTAAAGTATCTTACAGATACAATATCCTTCGCACTCACTTTACACTTGACTTTGCCAAAACGTTGCCAAAAACCCATCGAACTCAACTCACGAACTTGCAGTTCTCGACTGTTGTAGGTGCTAGACTAGGCGAAGACTTTTATACCTCACTATGATTGATTTGTTCCTGATTCCTGTTCTCGCCTATCTGCTGATAAGCCATATTTAAGGATGCAGCTACATAGGTGTTTTATCTACTTAGCCAGCCCAACCTCTTCATTTGATTTTCAGGTTTCTTTCAGTTTTCTTTTTATGTTCAGGTACCTAAAGCGAGATTTGCTACCTGCAGCTACCACACCTCACACATCTAAAAGTCGTCAACTGTTTACACATGACTGATCATGTTCTTAGACACACACACACACACACACCTAGACATAGGCATAGAGGCACTTCCTGTCTCCCATTTTGGGTTTGCTTGACTGCATTTTGTGCATGCGCCTGGGTTCTAGGCGCGCTCGCTGCATACTTTTCTTTTGCTTTGCCTGCTTTTCTCTTAATTACAACAACGCAGGGGGAGCAGGGGGCGTGGCTAACAGGGAATGCGGCGCAGCAACTAACATCCGGCGCGTCGTTATATTATATACATATACATATATAAGAAATTATGCGAAAATATGCAATCTAATTAGAGGAAACTTTTCATGTGAAAAAGAAAAATGTTTAAATGCGACAATGTAAATTCCTGAGCTGATTGACCGACTGATTGATTGATGAAGAAGCGAATTATATGCAACTAACTGTTGCCAATTCCACTCGTCAATGTGAAAAATGAGTGGAAATGGTTTGTTTATTTCGGAAATTCCATATTGTAAATGCAATTGAATTTCACTGTGAAGTCTTTGCTCAGGCATTGCCACATAACTGTATATGTACTCAGGCACACATGTGTGTTTATCTGGGTGTGTGTGCGTGCGTGTATGATCGATACCCCAGTACCCCTTTTTTTTCGTTCTCCAACAGCTTTGCAGCTCCTAACCGAGCGTCGCGACATTTCCGGTTGACTCTTTTAATTGACCTTATCTGCAGCTCGACGGCGCTTCGGGCTGAGCGTGGCTTGAGTTTTGATAAATGAACATGTCTTGACATGTCGCACAGCCCTACAACAACATCTACCCAAGAGAGTGAGAGAGTGAGAGCGAATGACATCAAAATGAAAGATATATAATAAGCAATTAACACATAAGCCGAGCCCCGTCCGGGTCGCTCGCTCTGGAATGGGCGTAAAGCATGAAAAAATAATCATAAAACAAAAAAATGAGAAAAATATAATAATAATACACATATGTACATACATACATACATTTCTATGGAACTGCCTTTTGCTGGTAATTTAATTTAGCTTGGAAACAAGTTTTGCGCTATTCTTACTTCATAGACTTCATTTTTTTATGTCAACTAAAAAAAAGAGCATTAAAAACTGAACTTCAATTTTGTTCCACGAAACTGTTGACCAATTAGCTAAATTTCTGAATTGGGTGCCGAAGATTCATGCAGTCAGAGCATATCTCTCGATGCATAAACAAATTTAAGGAAATGGAGTTTGTGTAAACATGATGTAAATGATGTAAACATTAATTGAAAACCGGCGAGAAGATCAAAAGGCCGACGACTGTTTGTCAACTTGGAGAGCAATGCCAACTGTTTACAGGGAAATCAAACAGGAACAGCGACAGACGATCGAGATGTGGCAGAGGCGGGGCAAGAGGGAGCCAGCTAGAGATCATTGACTTTTTATACAAGCAATTACTTCAGTTTTATACATATATATTTTTTCTAAGACCCTGGACCACACAGCATAGCTCAAATGATTATATACTATATAATTTAAGTGAACCGGAAAAATATATAAATATAATGGATCAGTCCGGTGTCAATTCGGCTACCTTGAAGACAACAAAAATGTATATATAAAACTCTGTTGGGGCGTCTTGAGCTACATTGAACTCCAGTTAGATGATAAACGAATATCACTTTAAAAACAGTTTGCCAAATGTTACGTAATGCTAAATGAAAAACAAAAAATCCATTTGCTGCACTCCAAATCATGTTATATAAAACTCAAATCATTTAAAATTCAATTTGTGCGTGCAGACCATGAAAATGAAAGCGCAGACAGCAGACAGAAGAAAAAAAAAAAACAATAAACAAAACAAAACATTGTTGAATGAAAAAAAAAAAAAAAAATTAACAAACTAAACAAAACAAGCATAACAATTAACAAAAAAAAGAAGCTTAAGCAAAATTAATTAACTTTAAGAATCGAACAAAAGACAAAAGCTTTTTTTTTTTGACAGAGGATAACAAATGCTTAAAGATCTATAAACAGAGTATAGATAACATGGATAGTGTATTATATATATTATATATGCATGCTATAGAGGTAGTGATAGTAAATAAATTAGAAATACTAAAGTAGCAAAGTAGTCTATATAGA